TTATATAAAGCCGCATTAACAAATGCAGCTTACTGTTTTGCCTGGTCAGAGATTAAGGGTTAACGGATTAACAGTTTAAATATATTGAACAACAATTTTTAGAATCTGGACATTCCTATATTGGCAGTTGACTCTATGCATAGTAGTATCGAAACCGCTAAAAACATACAGATCTATCTATGGGATTGCCAGATTACTTGTCTGTTTTTCAAAATGCAAGAGGAACTAAAAATATCAAGGTTGGATGATTAAAAAAGTATGTATAGACCATACAAATGTAAAGAATTTAAATACTACAGGACTTTTATGATTTTCAAAAAATTGTCTACAATCCTAATTATAAACAGGACAAAAGACCAAAACGGCGAAAAAAATAATGTGGTTGAAGATAAAAATAATGAGATTCGTGAAAGGAGAGACAGAATCTATTTTAATTTATTTGACAACAAACTTCAATTATTTCCTTTCAACTTTGCCAATTGGTGACTTTCACACGTTTGCAAATTGGCATAGCTAAAGAGAGAGATTTGGTACAGTTAGTGATAAGGGAGTGATACAGGAGGAATTTCACGGGTGGAATTTTAATTTTTAAAACGGGAAAATGATGTAACAGATTTACAGAACGGGATTTAGTCGTCGGGGGTCGAGGGAAGCCCCATAATATTAATGTTATTTTTATAATATATATTATTGTTTATTTTATTAAATTCAAATATAATTTTGTTTTTCTATAAAAACTGGCCTATCATTCATATAAATAATAACTATAAGTACAAACAGCTGTTAACAAAATTTTCAGGGAAAATCCAGTTTAAATGTCATTAAATCTCGATAATACCTTAAAACATTGCTATTACCTAGTAAAAAGCCTCAATATGTCGATCACAAAAATGTTTTACTTGTTGTTTATTTTATTTGTGTTTAAATATGTTATTTAAAAAGTAACTGATTTATTTAGATTTACTGGTAAAATCAGGTAACTGATAGCTTTCCACAACTAACTTGTATATTTTAGGATTAGAGATAGACTCTCAACTTTTTCAAAACTAATTGATAGAAAATCATTTCAAGAAACATGCATCTTTCACTAGAATATCCTAATAATCAAAACACAGCTGACGGCCTAATACAGCCAATAAATAACTAAACGTTTAAAAAAAACGTTTATTGTTTTTTCTGGTATTTCGGGATTCCGACAGTTACCTGGTATACGCAGTATACCGACGTTATATTCTGAGCTTTGAACTTCCGCATTTTTCTCCCATCATATCTAAAAATTTGCTATTCATACACGTCTTTTTTTTTTTCATTTTTGACGGTTTGAGGAATCTAATTGTAAGAGTCTATGCAACTTTTTAAGTTCTTGTTTTGTATCATCAGCTATTGTTAGTGTCCAATTTTTGTCAAACTGTGATCTGATTATTAATATTACGGTGAAAAATATTATATTTACGGTTTATTATAAGTTATCATGTGAAACAAGTAAGTAAATCTAAAAATAGAGAAAAATTCACAGGCTAATCTAATTTTATTTAAAAATATTTAAAATAACTAATGCATCTAAAACTGAAAGACACCTTGTAATATTACGGTTCATGATGTTTTTGATAAAAATCCAAGTATTTTGCGATCGTCAATCGCTAAAAGCACACTGGTCCCATCATAGAAACACCCAATTAATATTTATGATAGTAATTTAGTCATTTCCAGCAATTATTTAGGTTTTTCTTGTTTAAATAATATCCTAATGGTGTAAGATAATCGAATAGTAATTGTGAAAGGGATAATATAGGGTCATTAAGTTATATACACAAAGTACATGGAGATTACAGATTGAAGAGCTAATGAATATATTGTTGAGGAAATTGAAAAGGTTGCTTGAATTTCGCCGGAATAGAAATATTACGTACAGGATCGTAATAAATATAAATGTTTTAAATGTATTCGCATTGCCTTTATATTTCGGGATGATTTTTTTGCCATCTTACAGTGTGCAACAAAAACAAACATAGGGCTTTCGGATAACTAAAGCGGATCAACGTATGTACAGATAGCCAAGCAGCCATGGGGCTCTCATAAACCTTAAGGTGGACTCTAAGCTACTGTGAGAATACCGACACGAACTCGACAGAATGGCAGAACATAACAGTGTTACATGATATAGGTTCTAGGTCATCGGGGTATCAGTATCTATGGCCATAAATAGTGTGCTCTTTCCAGAAAAAACATAGGCTACAAAGTAACTTCGATCCAGAGCCGGACCATGGGAGTGCCAAAAGCATCGTTTGTGACGGAAAAAAGCTATATTTTAAACATAAACATAACTCACACAATACTATACCGGGAAAATATAGGTCAAATACATGGCAAACTTTAAAAGGACGAGCGTATGCTATTGTGCTGATGTACTACGGAAAACAATCAGAAAACAGCTTAGGGTTAAAACAGGATTCCTTACTGGACACGTTAGTCACAGAACAGAAAAATCTCCTCTACGAATATCTTAAAACAGCATGTGATATAGATTTTGGCTTATCGGTCAAACAAGTAAATTTTAATACAGTATGTCGAAGCTTTAAAATTAAAATTTACTAATCTTGGAAAATGTTGGTATAGCCAGGAATGTTTAACAAGTAGGTCGCATAACTTCTCAGGAACGCAATACATTGGTTACTATGGTTTCGGCAGAATCTGCAAGAGGAAACTTTATTACACTTTTCGTTTATTTTTTCCACCGAGGTTTTTTTAAGAGCATTTTTCCGACTTCTGGGCCCCTGAATCATCTAGAGCTGCAAATCCTTCAGGGTGGATGTAAATAAACACACTTTACAGTTTTGTAGACATTTTGTTAAACATGTTGGTTGTTTCTTAGATAGACTATCATTTTATTATTGGACTACCATGATTTCCATATGTCTATCATCATACACCTCTGCGTCCAAATTTGGACATAGGCCCCCCTAATTTCTTCCAGTGCTGTCGGTCTTGAGTTCTAACTCTGTCCCTGAGAGTCAGTCCAAGTGGTGAACGTTCCACAAGTTGATTGTCTTTGGGCTACTCTGAGTTTGGTTGCTGTAGCCTGGGCTAAAGAAAGTGTTTCGGCGCCGAAAGTCATGAATGGAAGAACGCATTGGTCCAACATTTTCTTTTTCAAATAATTTGGCATGTTGCTTTTGAAGATGTCTGATAGACCTCCATATGCCGCCCATACTTAAGTGATTCATCTTTGCAGTTCAGCAGTTTGGTTGTCCCTAGCAATTTGTATTTTATAAACTAAGTATTTATATTTATGAACTAATCCTATTTCTTTGCAGTCGACTTTTGAATTTTCGCTTGGTACCGGATTTGTCGTGTATTGTGTATTTCCAAAACTTAAACCAACTTCGTTAGAGGTAGCATCTAACTCAGTAAGCGTAGTTCCAATCTCTTTTAGGTTATCTGTTAGAACAATGTCATCCGCAAATCGTAGGCGTGGGAGCATTTCTCTATCAATATGATCACATTTCGGCAATAGTTCGAGAAACATTGCGATTAGCAGTTACACCAAAAAATATTATGGATATTACTAGTTGCTATTCACTAATAAATAGATAAACTAAGTTGTATAGTGTCACACAGATAGTGAGATGTGTAAACTCCACTCTCCCCCCCCCCCCCCCCGAATGTACCCTGTTTAATGTCCCCCCCACCCCCTCCCCTCCTGTGATACCCAAGAACATTAAAAGCACCCACCCCCCCCCTATTGCACCTTATTCGGTCCCTATTCCCCACCCCCCATGCGCGCTCAATTACACGCTCACCCTTGCTGTAAATTTTTTATTAAAAGAGTTAGAGATACGATAGATATGCTATATATATTGTCATTCTCCTCCCCCCCCCCCCCCCCACCCATGCTGATATAGATACCCCTCTCGATATAAATTTGGCATAATGTTTCTCTATTTAAAAAAGTTAAACCCGATTTTTATTTAATTGTTCGAAAGTTTGATTAAAAGGAGAATCCGCAAGCGAGGGCAATAAGCTTCAGTTAGAAAGGAACAACAACCCAAATATAATAAAAGAAAGCGTCATACTGCAATATGGACGGATACATCTATAAAAAATGCCATTGCGAAAGCACAAAAGAATGCAAAAACTGACAAAAGAGGAATTTGTTACAAAAAAATAACCAGGTACAAAGATTGAAAACAAAAAAATAAGAAAATTAATGATTGTATTGATTCAAAGGAAGAGGACTGCAAAGTAAGCCTTTATTGTATTTATAAATCCAAAAATAGCGCTTCAGAAGAAAACTGAATGCAATGCACAAATTGCAAAATGTTTGCGCATGAGGCTTGTGCTGACAATCCTGGTATTTTTTTTTGTTTTATGAATTTGGAAAGCAATTGATGTTTTTCTTACACATGGGTACTACTTGTTTAATGGGTAATGTATTTGTACATATGTTACAGTTTAAATTAATTTATTTAGTTATATATTTATGCTTTATATTTATATGTTTTTAAATTTTTTTAATAAAATATTTTTACATTTAAAGCAAAAATGTGTTTTAAATTATTTTTTTTTTGTTTGCATCACCCGACACCAGGGTTACGACCCCGTTCACGTTTAAATTTTTTTAAAATATAGTCAACGTCTGAAATTTAAAAAATTACGTCAACCAACCACGGACCCTCCACCAAATTTTGTAACTAATTGATTGTTTCTCTCTTTGGAGAAATTTTTTTTACCAACTTGATACATTTGAATTAGAAGAAATTAGTGTTATTTTAATCTGCAAAAATATAAAGGGTTTTCTTTTTAAATTAAACCGTCAAAATATAACTTATTTTAACCTGAAATTGTGGTGAATTTCCAATAAAAATAGTAAATAATATTAAAATATTACAAGAAAATAGCTTTAGAACAATAATTTTAAATGTTCGTCATATTTATTTGTTTTGAGTCATATACGTGACGCTATTTGATAAATAAAATCAAATAATAAATATTGTATTTACCTGGACAAGTCGGACAACACCTCCCTGGTTCGGGTGGCAATGGTTTCGCACAAGGAGTATGGCATCGTAAGGTAGATATTGTGATCACACCAGCTTCACATCGCAATATATTACATGGATCTTTTGGATCTGACCATTCTGTATCACTTTGATGGTAGTAACCGTTGTAGATGCAACCTGAAAAAAAAAATAAAGTATTAAATATTAAGATCATTTATTTTGTAAGGATTTATGAAAACCACAGTTTTATTGCGATATGTATAAACTAATAAAATAATTTTTACTTTGGTGATATACCATTGATTCAACAAGATTTGTTAGAGAAGTCGCCACTCCCGTTGATTCTTAGCAACTTCCCTTTATCTTGGAATTCTTAGAATCTGAATTTAATATATTTTCTACGTGGTAATCGTTTACTTCTTCGTCCTCTTAGTTTGACAATGCCAGTCTCTTCCTGTACTCATTATCTTACATTAAAGTAATGTGTCTAGCATAGATTAGAGGAGGGATTTGAGGATTAGGTGTCTGGTGATAGTCTATCTTAGCCTCTGCTTTTTCATGTATATGGATCTGTGTATAGATGGTATAATTCAAAGTTATATCTTTGACACCATAGCCCATTTTCTTTTACAGTCCCAAAAATCTTTCAAATTATTTTTCTCTCAAGGATGCCAAGTAGTTTCTCGTCGTTTTGGGATAAATTATTTGTTTTAACCCCATATATCAAACCGCACTTATTATGATCTTGTAAAAGTTGAACTTACTGCATGTCTTAGGTTTTTTATTTCTCAGATGTTTCTGAATACTATGGAGAGTAGTTCTGTTTGCTATTGCTATGCGTTTTTACTTCGTCGCTAGTCGTGTTTGTTTGGTTACTTAGTGATTGAAGATATATATGAATTCTTTGACTTACTTAAAGGCATAGTTATCAATTTTGATTCACCGTTGAACATTTTTAGGGTTTTTGGAAACCAACATATATTTGGGATCTACTTCACTTGCCGCGTTCGTAAAATTTGTAAAATACTTAACTACGTCTGTCATACGTCATTCTTCTACCCCCTATAACTATATTGTTACCCTTTTTAATAATAACTTTTCAATACTTTATTACAATGACAAAAATAAACTGTAAAAACAACTGTTATAAACCTCAACAACATCTGCTTTTATATTTTTTCTGACGTTCCAGACTTCACTAGACATTTCAAGATTTTTCGATGGCATCTCGATCATTTCAGGATTTTTCAATCTTTTTTAGACTTCTTCTTTTTCGTCAAATGACTTTTTCTATTTGGAATAAATCTCACGGAACTCCCGTAACAATATCATCAGCGAATATTGTCTTGGACCATTATTAATATTACATAATGTTCTCTTTAATTCTAATGCAAAAGCTTACATTTTGCATTGTTAGTTTTCTCAATAATTGATGTAAATTATTTACATAACTTAGGTAGGATCCAAAGTCTATCATTACAATATATAGTTTCTTTTATTACTTCTTGCAATACTTTAACTTTCAAATTGTTTGCTTCTTCCTCTTTTATTGATGATATTCGGTCCATTATCGCTCTTAATGTATTTGTTTAATATAATCCGAATGTGTGTTTTTTTACTTGAACTGTACAATTTCCCTTTATGTTCTTCGTTTTTATGGTGATTTACACATGAGCTTATCCAGCCTTCCGTAGAAATCAGCGGTTCTTCAATTTTTCTTAATATTCCTCCTTCCAAACTTTTTATTTTCTTCTTTCCTGCTGTTATTTTAATTTTCTATAAGGCATACACTAACCATATTTTGGCTAGAAAATTTTCGTTTTTGTTTTTTGGCTCATACTTTTATTTGTTAGATTCTTTTATTTTATTTAAAAGTAATTCTAATTGCGAAAATCGCTTTGAAAAAAATATTATAAACAAGTTATTTTGATCTATCGATGTTTATTAATTAGTGTTTTGTAGCATCTAATTTGACAATTGACTTACTCAGCCTCGATCTTGTGGGCAACAACCATGTTTTTGAGTTAAAATTCTGAGGGTGATGTTTTACCCTCGGAATAATATCAAATTCTGATTTTTGTGTGTTCATGTAATTAATTGTGGATGATACGTCTCTTCTATTGAGTTAATAATGTTATGGTTATGGTATATTCTTATTGCCGAATTCTTTTAATATTAGTCTAATGATATTTCTCCACTTATCGCGGTTGTCTGTTGCAATGTTTATTGAGAAACAATTTCGAATATCTGTCCTTCGCTGTGGAGATCTGCACCGTTGGCATTAACTCCTGAGACCTTCTTTGAACCACCAACCGCTCCATTTTGTGATCACTTCGATGGATATGACCAAGACCTTGTTTAGTTCAGTCATTGCTGCTGTGTTGTTAATTAGGGCTCCAAGATATATCACAGAGGAGACTATCTCGCATCCTGCAATAGTTTTAGTTTCAGAAAACTGTTGTTTATTGTTTCACATATTGAAATCAATATTCATAATTTTGGTTGTGTTGTAGTTAACCATGAGTCTAAGTTAGTTATTTCTTCTGGAGTAGTGGCTAGAAATGTAGTGTCGTCTGTTTAATGAAGTTAGTATCTTGACACCGTTTAGGTTTACTCCTGTTTTCCAACCATTCAGACTCTATGCATTTATCTCTAATAGATGTTTAATATTAGGGGAGATAAAACGCATCCTTTAGTGTACATTCGTTATATAGGGGCTGCTTCATTTTGTTAAAGGGTTTGGTAGTAGTTTTTTTTTCATTAAGTAAGAAAAGAGCTTCATATAGGTACGGTGTCTTTCTGTAGTATTAGTGTTTTCGATTATTAGTGTTTCTTCTTTGGTAGTCGTCAGTTAACTTTTCATTATTAAAACACAATGTCGGTATTTCGATTTTGATTCGATACCAAGTCAGACTACAAGCCGAATATACGTTATTAGACATCTTTAGGTCTCTTCGTGTACACGGTATAGCCTACTACTCCGTATCGATCCTATATATTTTCCCGTTTCATTGGACCATAGGTGATTAAAAAGATTACTATGTACAGAACGTATGAATAAGCCATCTTAAATAACAAATATAAAAAATTCTTACGTATTCTACCGGGCGAAAAATCGAATTCAAATTGAAGCCACGTGAATTCCTTAAATCTTGCGATAAGCATACAGCGTGTATGAATTAATTTCCCGTCTACGACGGGGATTTATTTTGGTTCGATACGGGAGTTTAGTTGACTTTACCGTACTGAAGAGACCCTAAAGAGGTCGAAATACGTAATATGCGGGTCTGTAGCGTCATACGCTATCTGACTAGTCCAATTTAAAACCCCTCAAGTAATTTTTATTACCCGCCTACGATCGATTGTTAAATGACATTTTTCCACCACGCGCTGTTATCGCTTTGAAAAGGAAGATCGATTTTATGTGCGGAAGCGAACGATCCACGTTTTGGTCATGGATCTCCGTCAAATCGCAGACACGCCAAACGGTTGAGTCTTGTGTCCGCGATTCAACAGTGGACGGGAATTAGGGGCAGAAAAAATAATTAGGATAAGAAAGAACATATATTCATTCATAAATCATAGTAATAGATAAGACTTTTTCTAATAACATCCACTATTCATTCAGTAAGAGTTCCACAAATACAAGGAAGATTTTCTTGCAGGGCCTTGCAGTTCTCCATGTAATGCTAATTCATTTAGTAGAACGTATTCATATCTTTATCAATATATCAAAAGTTTATCATTTGTATCTAAGTATTTCTTTAAGAGATTTATTTTTGGACGTTTCGAAATAATTTTAAAATATAAAATTTACATCGTGATTTACTTGCCCAAAGAGAACAGAAGGTCATCTTTTTTTTTGTTATATAGTTGAAAACTTAACATCCGATTATATTACCTCGTCGTTATCATTAAAGTTTTTGTGGTTCTTTTTTTTTACCTGAACTTTTTTGGTGGAATATAAAAAGGTTTCTACAAATGTGGTACAGCTCTTCTGTATTCTGCGCATGTTCTATTTCATGGCGCAAGCTTGCATGCCTACGAAAGTAACTTCATAAACCTTGACTGATGTTGACATTAACACTCTAATTACCTGAATGTGTTTGATGTTTTGTTTTGGGTGGCAGTCAATCCATGCTGCAACAGCCTATTGCAATGTGCAATTTACTTAAAATTCAATATAATCATTTTAGATTTCCGTACAGCGTGAAAATATTTAATTTCATGTTACTTGAGGAGCTTCTCGTGAGAATATTCCCCTCAAGGTCACTCGTAATCTAGGAGATCACCTTAGATACTATAGTCTAGCTAATAGCGTTGTGTATGTAACGTGGGGCAATTTGTGTCACCCAGAGCAGCCAGTGAGCTGGTTAGTGGCTTTGGTGCCCAGGCTTACGATCTTACAGCCATAAAACTGATGTAGACCGTGCCAAGACGGAGATTTACCTGTGGACTTCTGGGGTGTAAAGATAAGTTGTTTGATGTTTAACTATTGATGACCTTTAGTTATTCCGTAGTACTTAGTAGTATTTACCGTTAACTGATCATTATGGCATATGACAAGTGTGACAGACCTTTTTTTTTTTCGATAATTTAATTTTTGATAAATCTAATTCTAAAATATTGCGGGAGAGGAAAAAGGATATTTACCTGTGTGATACTAGGTTTTACACGTGGATTTAGAAGAGTCTTGACCAAACCTCACATTTTGCCTATATATTTTGGATACTAAAATATATTTGATAATATAAGGTACAATTTGATATTAGGGATGGGACTTGCATATTTCATGTGGTGGGTTTTTACAATATTGTAAAAAGGAGTACGGAAGAATCAACTTTTGGATGGAAAGTATATATATTTAATATATAATTGTAATAGAGATTTATCAAGTTGGATTACTCTTTACCAATATTGTTCATAGTACCTTCATATTAGTAGTAGAACTATTTAAATTTAAATTATACCTTTTTGTTTAAGTACTTATGGCTACCTACGGAGGTCTATTCTTGGTTGTATACTAATATTTCATATTTTATTTGGCAGTGGTAGTGATCTATTCGTTTGTTGAGGGGCTATTAGGTCCCATTGTATGTGTACACACATCCAACATTACCATGGTATTTGGCTTTAGCATTATATGTAAATTGTTTATACCATATACCTATATACATTTTTTATAAACTATATTATTGTTGCTATTTGAGTTTTATTTCGTTCTACGAACAAGTATATCAACATAGCAAAACAAGAATTATTATTTTAGTATTTTTGTATTTAGGTATTATCTCCGAATTATTTGTTACTTCAAAAATCTCAACTATCGTTGAGTTGGCGCCTTCTCTTTCTTCTTATTGTTTTTTCTATAAATTTATTCCAGTGACCTTCTTCAGTTGTATCACGTTTGATATTACCAGGTCTCTTTCTTTTCTTGTCTCATTAGCTCATTATCTCTTGTATTGTTTTTTATATCTTAAAGCCACAATCAGTGCATTGAAGCTAGCCCGAACACTCACTTGAGATTTAGTGTCTCTTGGCCATTTAAATTTGTTTACTCTGAGCTTAGCCCTATTTTTTGTATTTTTTTTTCTCCATCACTTCTCTTTCAGTTCTTCTGAACTTTGTCAATTCCCACATGTTATTCGTTTCAATTGGCGCCCAACGTGGGGCTTCTTTCCACTTCTGCCTTAAGAAAAAAATATATATATATATATATATATTTATATATATATATATATATATCTCCTTTAACTTTTGGTTTTGATCTTGGGTTGTTGTGGTTTTCACTGGTTGTGCTTTTAGATTTTCATTTTAACTTTTAGTTTTGTTTTTCAATTTTTTTTTGGACATTACCTTATATCTATATCTATATCTTAAATTGACTTGTTTTTGCTATATACTGTGTAGACTGAATAAATTGCTTTGTTTTTGATTGATTAAATAACAATTTAAATTAATAATAAATTAATTAAAAATTTAAATAACTAAAGTTAACTATTTCACATATTTTTTACAAGTCCGGAGTAGTCAATAAGTTGAGTCACTACCTCGAAATAACAGTTTTGATAATTTTTAGGTTCCTTAGGGTGTTGTAGCAGTATATGTCATTGGATTTCATAACTGGACCAAAACAATTAAACATTTACTGGTATAGGTATCCCTTCAGAATATTAATTTGGAAGGTCAGAGAGAGTAAGTTAAAACTTTACCTACTTTTACTCATTCTCTTGTATATCGCTCAGTTGTGTAATATGTCTGCTTATTAAGGTAGAGCATCTGTTAGCTCCTGAATTAGATTAATGAGTTGAGAGCCTGTCATCTAACCAGTCCACTTGTTAAAAAAATGTTGTATGATGTACAGAAATGTACCAGGTAAAATTTCCTGATTTTAATAGTTGAACATGGTGTTTTGTATAAACATGTCTTAAGTTCCATGGATGCCCTTACTGGAATGTCGGATTGGAAGATAGTCGTTCCAACTCGTAATAGAGCAGAGGTTGTGGCCACTTTTCATTGACCATCCTACTGCAGCTCATTTTGATTTCTACAAAACTTTCCGTCGAAT